TGGACAGGTTTCACAGGAACTTGAGAAGATAAAGAAATGGTGTGATAGTAATATACTATCTCTGAATTTGGATAAAACTAAATTTATGGTATTTGGGAATTGTAGACTAGATAATGAACTTCAATTGAAAATTGGGGGAGCTAATATCGAACGAGTATATGAAATTAAATTTCTAGGTGTCATAGTTGATGACAAATTCTCCTGGAAATCTCATATCAGATATGTTCAGCACAAAATAGCAAAAAACATATCGATATTGGCAAGGGTTAGATATATTTTGGACGGGAAAGCACTACGCATTTTGTATTCTTCATTGATTTTACCATACTTAGAGTATGGCGTTGAAAACTGGGGAAATACATACAAAAGCTCACTGCAACCATTGTATATATTACCAAAAAGAGCGATAAGAATTGTGCATAAGATGCGGTATAGGGATCACACCAATGTAGCTTTCATACATTCTAAATTGTTAAAATTTTTTGATTTAGTGGGATATAAGACTGCTGTGTTTATGTATAAAGCCAGGAACAATTTATTACCTGGTGGAATTCAAAAACTATTTAATGAAAGGGAATGGGATGCCCACATCACCCCAGTTTTGTTGTCTCTCCATTGGCTGCCCGTAAAATGGAGAGTGGAGTTCAAGATCTTGCTCTATGTTTTTAAAGCCATGACACAACCTTGCCCCTTTGTACTTATTGGACCTTCTGTCCAGATATGTCCCTCGCAGAACTTTACGGTCATCAGGTCACCTCGCCCTCGTTGTTCCTCCTGCACACTATAAGAAATGGGGAGGTTGCGCTTTTGCCGTGCATGGCCCTAGATTGTGGAACTCCTTACCCTTAGATATACGCTCTACAACTGAGCCGGTAGCCCTCAAGTCAGCTCTAAAAATGTATCTTTTCAAACAAGCTTTTAATGTTTAGATTGTTTATTGGTCCTGTATGACCACTATCTTTGACCCTTTTTGTGATAGTATCCCGGTTAGAAATTGTGCTATATGAGTGCTTGTGTTTGTCTTATGTTTCTCTTTTAGCCTTGACTGTTTTGAACTGTTATTTTATCGATGTAGCACTTTGTGCTTTCAAGTTGGAAAGTGCTTTACAAATACATTTTATTATTTTTATTATTATTATAATATATGCTATGTGGGAGCCGTGGAGTGCAAATACTCAGCAGTGAGTGTGCAATTATGCACATGCATGTATGTAAACAGTACAGATGGAATTACATGAGGTAGATCCTAAGTCAGCTGTTTAGGAGTCTGATGGCAGAGGGAAAGGAAGAGTTTTTCAGTCTGGAAGTCCTGCATTTCACACTTCTGAGCCTCCGACCAGAGGGCAGGTGTATGAACAGTCCATGCTGGGCGTCCTTGAGGATGGAGGCAGCTTTCCTACGCACCCTGCGGTGGTAAATGCTCCACAGCAGAGAGGGCAGTGGAGTCCTGGAGATCTTCTCTGCAGTCTTTACCACTCTCTGCAGGCACTTGCAGTCCATAGCAGTAGTGCTGCCATACCAGACAGTGATGCAGCTGGTCAAGATGTTCACAATGATGCAACTGTAGAAGTTGCTGAGGATCCTAGACGACATGCCAAACCTCGTCAGCCTCCTCAGGAAATGCAGCCATCGTTGGGCCTTCTTGACCAACTGTGTGGTGTTAAATGTCCAAGTGAGGTCCTCACTGATGTGAACACCCAGGTATTTGAAGCTGCTCACCCTCTCCACTTTGAGCCCCCAGATGAACAGTGGCTGATGAGACTTCGTCGTGGCTGTGTTGAGGCTGAGATTATTGTCCTTGCACCACGACACCAGACCGGCCACCTCCCTCCTGTAGGCTGCTTCGTCCCCGACAGTGATGAGGCCTATCACTGCAGTGTTGTCCCCAACTTTAGGATGATGTTGTCCTTGTGGAAGGTGACACAGTCGTGGGTGAACAGGGTGTAGAGGATGGGACTGAGGACACATCCCTGTTGGGTGCCAGTGTTTGTAACAATGCTGGCTGAAGTCCTATTGCCAATCAGTCTTGGGCCTGCCAGTCAGAAAGTCCAGGAGCCAGTCACAGAGGGTGGGGTGCAGACCCAGTGTGGATAGTTTGTAGGTGAGTTTGTGGGGGATAATTGTGTTGAAGGTGGAGATGTAGTCAATAAAGAGTGTCCTGATGTAGGAGTCTCCATTTTCCAGGTGAGAAAGGGAATAGTGGAGGGCAGTCGCGATGGTGTTTGAGGTGGCCCTGTTGGGCTGGTAGGCATACTGCAGGGGGTCCAGGGTGTTCGGTATACTGCTCTGAATGCGGGCCAGCACCAGTCTCTCAAAATAATTCATAATGATTGGGGTGAGTGCCACTGGCCTGTCGTTGTTCAGGCAGGTGACCGGGCTCTTCTTGGGAAGGGGGACGATGGTTGTGGTCTTAAAGCAGGTGGGAACAATGCTCTGGCTGAGGGACAGGTTGAAGATGGTGGTGAGAACATCAGCCAGCTTGCTGGTACATGCCCTGAGAGCCCTCCCAGGGATGTTGTCCGGTCCTGCTGCTTTGCGTGGGTTGATGTTCCTCAGGATTGTGCATACCTGGCCTGGTGAGACAGTTAGTGGAGGGGAGGTGGGGGGTTGGGTGGTCTCGGTGTGTGTGTGCGTGCTTCCTCTCTGTGCTGTAGCTGGAGGTCTCAAAGCAGGTGTAGAAGGTGTTGATGTCATCCGGCAGGCTGTCTGTGGAGCTGATGATGCTGGTAGTGGTACTAGAGCAGTGATAGGAAAATACTAGGGGTTATTCTCTCAGAACAGTGTATGTTGTGTGCTAGTATGGAAGATGCGATGTCAGACCCAATAATCTATAGTGGACACACGGATGACCTTTACATTCTCATTATCATTTAGTTTGTTTTCTTCTTCATAAAAACACCCTCATTTTTTTCTTTCTAGCCATTTCGTGTCGGAAAGAGGATGGTGGGCAGGCAGACCTTGAAGCCTGTCTTAAGTTTGCCGGCTTCATGCCGCCTCTCACCCAGCCCTGCCAGTTGCCCTGCCAGGAAGACTGTCAACTCAGCAGCTGGTCCAAGTTCTCTCTTTGCACCGCTGACTGTGTGGGCATCAGGGCCCGCAAGAGGATGCTACTGGGTAAGTGATGAGACTTTTACAAGATGATTTCTAGATAACCTCACCCTTTAAAGTAAGACGAATGAATGTGAAAGAAATGATTTTCAGAGAGAGCTCCAAACCTTTCTGTTCTGCTCTGTTCATTCTGAACTCTCCAAATCAAGCAAGTCTCTTCTCATAGCCAATGAGCAATCCCTGTGTAGCAGCTGGGGTTAAATGCTAACAATAAATGATCAAGATATGGCAAAATCCAAACTATTTTGTGTGTGTGTGTGTGTGTGTGTGTGGGGGGGAGCGAAAAACGCGATGTGATCAGTGTAAAAACCACCAGATGTATCCCCTGAGTGAGACCCAGTACTGCCCATGTAACAAATACAATGCCCAGCCTGTGGGCAACTGGTCGGACTGTATCCTACCTGAGGGCGGCCGCATTGAGGGTCAACTGGGCATGAAGGTTCAAGGAGACATCAAGGAGTGTGGGCAAGGATATCGTTACCAGGCCATGGTATGCTATGACCAGGACAACCGCATAGTGGAGACATCTCGCTGCAACAGCCATGGTGGGTTCTACATGCTCAAATAACTTTCTAAACATTTTTATGAACACCAGGGATAATTGCAGTTCAGTTGTAAAACACATCAAGTTTGAAACCAGGGTGTTTTCCCCAAATTTCTACACTTACTCGTCTTTTCCTTTGTCGGTTTTTAGCTCCGACCTTAATGCAGTCTCTTAGCTGGGACTTTCCTCGCTGAGACAAAGAGTATTTCCTCCGCAATGTCTCATAGTAAGCCCTGCAACAGGCTGAATAGAACAATAATTCAGATAAGTGACAAAAACAATTCAAATTATTAGAGGAACAACAAAAAAGGGACATGAAAATAATTTCAATAACAATTTCTGATTACCATTTATACACAAAAGTATAGTTGTGTAGCCAAGTGCTAACTTAGGCTAACTTGGCAAGGTATAATTTACTACTATATTGTCGGCTAACAAAGCTCAACTCACCGCAGTGCCCACGTTATGCGCCCTCTTGACTCTTTTATGCACATGGTTTGACTCTTCCTGCGATCTTTGCTCGTCAAACTTGAAAACTTGAAACATGTGGATATATTCCATTTTACAAGCATCCACACAAGACATCTGCCCTGGGAAAGAAATGTGGCTCTCTCTTAATGAGCAAAGTTAAACGTTTCAATGGCACAGAAAGTTTTTACCTGAAACAAACCTATTGCTATAAGAAATTAATTCAGTCTTTGGGAACTTTGATTAGAAGACCTGGATTTTTGGAAAAGTGTGAGAAGTGGAGACAAAGACAAATTCCTAACTCTGTAATGGCAGATGTATATGATGGACAGATTTGGACAGACTTTCAGTATGTTAATGGACAGCCATTTCTAGCAGAGCCAAACAATTTTGCTCTCATGATGAATGTTGATTGGTATCAACCCTTCAAGAACTCCCCATATTCAGTAGGGGTCATATATCTGGCCATTTTGAATTTGCCACGAGAGGAGCGTTTTAAGGAGGAGAACATAATTTTAGTTGGAGTTATACCAGGACCTACAGAACCAAAGAACAACATTAGCGCATATCTTGACCCTTTGGTGGATGAGCTTCGTGAGCTGTGGGATGGAGTTCCCATATTTGATTCTTCATTTTTGGGATGCCAAGTCTACAGAGCGGCTCTTCTGTGCCTTTCATCAGACATTCCAGCTTCACGCAAGTGTGGTGGCTTTGTGGGCCATGGAGCTTTAAGAGGTTAGTTTTCTGCTATTGTGCCATTACATCTGTTGTTTTAAACTTAAAAGTACATCTGGTTTTAAGAGACATCCATTTATTGTTGTATTTGTGTTGTATAGGATGTAACAAATGCCTGAAAACATGGAATTCAAAAACTATTTAATGAAAGGGAAGGGGGATACAATTTAAGGGGTCAGTTAAATTTAAAAGTTCATGTTATACGTACAACCAAAAAAAGATTTTGTATTTCCATAAGTGGGGTAAAACTATGGAATAATTTAAGTGTGGATATAAAAAATAGTAATAGAATTGACGAGTTTAAACATAAATAGAAAGGTATGTGTCAATCAAGATATATGCAAGAACAGGCTTAATGATTAATTAGATGGAACATTGTGGGTGTGGTGTATGAATGATAACACTTTATAACAATTCTTTAGTATATTACTTGTGTGGTGTAGAAGATAATTATTTAAGAATGTAATTATGTATCAATGTTAACACTCTGTCATAATTTTTTAGTATATTACTTGTGTGGTGTAGAAGATAATTATTTATGTAGAGATACTGCTTGCAAACCAATGATGTAAGATGATGTCATGGGGTAGGACTGGATAAGTCTGACTTCTTCCTACTCCATTCAAGCATGTACTAGGTATAAGCAAATTGATATTGGATTAGCATTTGTTGGATATGTGTAAAATTATGTGTGTTGTCATATCAACTGTCTTTACACGCTTGAAAGAATAAATCAAATCAAATCAAAATCAAATCATATTCAGGTTATGGACTGAACTTGGTGTTTTAAGCACCCAAAAGCTTGATGAAATACAAAGAAGAATAGACTCTTTAAAGGTGTCCCAGAATGTGTGAAGGATTCCTTGGAAAATTGCCTCAGGGCTTAGTGGATTTACTGCTGATCAGTGGAAAAATTGGACTACTGTCTATTCTCTTTTTTGTTTGAAGGGATTGATTGATGACAAACATGATATGTGGTCTGACTTTGTACAAGCATGCATTGTCATACGCTCAAGAGTTATATCCACAGATAGACCGGAAATCAGCTGCTTCATCAAGTCATTCATACTCAGTGGGCTTGATGCTGGTTGCTGACACTTACTCACAGGAGTAGAAAAGCTTAGGTTTCTTTTGCATGCCATCACAGATAGTTTTTCGTACTTCCACCAAGTCGCAATTCGTAAGAATAACTTCTGTACACAGCGCTGACAAATAAATATAGCCTTCCCCATTCAATGCTTTCCACGCCACCCCGCCCACCTCTGTCAATTAATTGTTTGAATTTATTCTGGGGGAAAATATCTCCACAGATAGACTCGAAGTAGCTGATAGGTATCTGCAGACATTTTTATCTAAGTTTGTCAGTCTGTATGGGCCACTACATTGCACACCCAACATGCATCTGCATTTTTGATTATGGACCTGTCTATTCATTCTGGTGCTTCTCTTTAGAAAGATTTAATGGAATGTTAGGGCAGTATCATAATAACCACAGAAACATTGAAGTAAAATGTATCCTTACAGCTGTGTCTTACAGGTGGCTCATTTGGCAAAGACTTGCTCTAAAGTTAAGAATCTTGGAGTAGCTCTGTCAGTTAACAGCTGCAGAACTGAAAGGTCTGCTTGTGTTTTGGCTAAATGGTGCGCTGGTAACTCCAGCTTTGAGGAACCAGTCCTAGATGTCCGCCCTGGAATTATTACAAGGTTTCTAATAGTTACTTTAAAATCTAAAGCATAGAGGTTTTTTACTACAGTTGTTGTTGTATTAACTTTTTAGAGTCAAGGAAGTCTCGCACCGCTTATTTTACACTGTGCAATTTTGCAGTGCAGACCGATGCTGCTGTAGCATTTCTCCCTGTGGAGCGTATTGCAGGCAGATGTGTAATCAGTACTTCAACTGTGCAGTTAAGTCAAACTACGGAGAAGGTCTCAGTTGTAATACCACTATGCACAGTGGTTGAGATTTAGGCCAGTGTAATTAAAAAGCTTGTTTGTTTATACTGTTATTGTGCATTTTCGTTTTTTTTTTTCATTATCTGTAAATATAAACCTTCACAATAAACCTTTTTTAATGATATTCTGAAATAATGTTTGTTGCATTTGTCGTGGCAAAAATCAATTCACAGGGAGAATCACTGCAGTGCCAATCATCATTTGTTGAACAATATTTTGTGATAATGGTTGAGAGGGCGAGAAACAGAGTCACCTGTCAGTTTTGGGCCCCTGCAGAGAAAAGTCAGGCTGTCGGTCAGCAGGTCTAGTCTCCCCTCGGGTCTTCACACACACGCCTGATCAGCTCTGCAGCTAACTATATGGCCATTTCCCAACTTCCTGTAATTGTCCAGATCTTGACGTCCAACCGAGCCCCCCCCCTGGTTACACATTTTG